ACAAATAAATGTAATAAAAAAATTTTAAAAAGGAATGGACTGAATCCATAGACAAAAACAAGTGAGAGTCATACATTCAAGTTCCCATATATGTGTAGACAGCACAGACATTGCTGAAGGCCAAGGCCAGTTATATGACATTATCAGGAAAGTCATGTATATAGGTGCATTAATTTGCATCTAGTTTAGAAAGTCCACAGAGGGCCTATACCTTCTTATTAGGCATGTTTTCAAGTTTGGAATATCAGAGTTGCCCCATTCAATTTGTTCTGTGGATGGATCGTTTATTGACTGGTGAATTACTGCTGTCTTAGGGTTCCTGCTCCAGGAAGGGCAGGCTGTGGCCAGGCCAGCTTCTTGCCCCTGCTCCCTGAGTGCTCATGTCTTGCCTCTAGTAGGATGGGGAAGCATGGAGGGAGGGTGAGATTGAAAGTTCTACTCCAGGTGGATCCCCTCCAAGCTAGGAGTGGATGGAGGAACCTTCCAAGTGGAACAAAAGCGAGCACAGCGTGCCTCCTTCTCCCAACCAGGGTTGAGCCTCACAGAGGGAGAGTGAAATCATGCTTCAATCCTGAATGTCATCCACTGAAGATAAACTCCCCTTTCAGAAGAATTACTCATTGCACTCTATCACAGTACCTCGGGGTCCATCAGTATTCAAATTTATTAAGTAATGACATGTAGAATGTATGATATCAAAGGCTGGTTTCATCACCCCATTCCCCAAGCTATTTTTTCTTGTTTTTTTTTTTTTAAATTTGCTTATTCATGAGGAGTCTAGCAAATTAAAAATCAACACACACACATGCACACGTGTGTGAGTGCACACACATAGACACACACACACACACACCAAAAGAAAACCCTTCGTGGAAGTTGCTATATGGCGGCTTCAGAAAGGAAAAACACGATCTCTGACTAATATGAAGGAGACTCCAAATTGCTCTTGGCAACAATCTCTCAACCCCATTCCCCTCCCTCTATTCATCTCTCCAGTTCCCAGCCAAAGGAAAACAAACTGAACAGCCCTCTCCCTGGCCCAACCTGTGGGGCTGCACGGCTGAGCAGGGCTGAGCAAACAAACATCCCTGTGCAATTATACACCTGTGTAATTGCTGTAAACATGGGACAGCCAGCCGGGTACTTACCACCCTCATCCAGCCAATCATCTCAGTATTAGGAAGAAGATGCCTGTATGCTGGCAGCAGGATATCAAAAGGGAATGCAATCTGATCTAGTGACCTCAAGCTCAGAGAGTTTTTTGTTTTTTTTTTTTTTTCCTTAAGAAAAGGAAGAAGATGCTTTATCCTTCTGGCCAGAGTGCTGTGAGTTCCATAGAGGGATGCCCTGAGAACATCTCCCAGCCAGGCTGGAACTGTGAGATTTATCAGCTCATGGTCCCCACGGAAGTAACAGTTAATGTTAGAGGTAGTTATCTTATATTCATTACACCATTCAAGATGGAAGAAGAGTTAACAGGCCAGATCCTAGAATATTTATGGCTTCTCTGTCTCAAACATCCATCTGACATTGTTCTATTAGGATGCCTAGGTCTAGTCAGCTAACAGAAAGACAGATTGGAAATGTCAGGAGGTGGCATCAGAGATAAATCATGTAGGGATCTTTTCAGTTGAGCCCAGAAACCACCATGTCAGGTCAGTGTGAGCTGCTTTGAGAACCATGGATGGTTAGGACACCAGAATTCTTAGTCCTGGCTTTCCTATCAAGTCCCACAACAGTGGGCAAGCTCATGTCCCACAGTAAGCTCAGGGGTTTGGAGCTGCTCATGAACATTGAGAGTGTGGGGTATACCATCCTGGCCACCGAGGACATGGCTGGTGTGTCAGGAGTGTGACATTTGGGGTAGTTCTTAGCCAGCCTAGTACTGCTCCAGAGAGGGCTACTTCTCTCAGAAACTGCATGGGGATTCTTGTCATCTCCAGCTCCAAAATTACAGGCTCATTTCAGAACCCACAGTTTAAACCCTAAACCCCCTGAACAGCAAGGGCTCCACTGCCTTCCTGGGTGATGGAGAATTAGGTCCAAAATGCTTCTTGCATGGCCACCACTCCTGGCAACTTTCCTGGAAGGCTGTCTCACAATCCACTCCCTGACAGCCTACCCTGCAGTGGGCTCCCCTGATATGTCTCAATTCCAATCACAAGGCACTCCCTGGATCCAAGTCCTGCATGACTGACCCTCTTCATAATGGAGAAATCCACATTGCATTTGGCTAAGATGACCCAACTTCTATCCCAAACTTCTCCTTGCATCCTTAAGGGAGAAAAATAGAAAAACCCTGAGTCTGTAAGGGAGGCTGTGCTCTCCTCTAGATCCTGGGCTTTGAGAAGGCGCCCACCTCCCCCAGCCCCAGGCTCTGTGTGTGTGTGTGTGTGTGTGTGTGTGTGTGTGTTCTCTCAGGTTTGTTCTCTAATAAAAATGCTTGCTTTTCTTTCTTGATTTTTAGTCTTCCTTCATTTCCTTCCCGCTTTCTATTTCTTTATACTGGGCATTTGGAGCAGAGTCTGATCATGCTGTATGCACTCCTTGAGCAGGGACAAGGCCTTGTGACTACAGCATGGTGATGATTATTAGCGCCTATCACCACCTTCCCCCTGCCTTCTCTTCACTCAGGTTTCCTGCTGCCACTTTTATGGCATCTTCCCATCCACAGCCTCTCTTGGTCCACTGAACCCCAGTGAAGGACATGCATTCCTTTTACTACTCCTACCAACAGAGGCCAGGACCTGGCTAATTTCATTTACTGAGGGATGCCCAGTACTTAGCATAGTGCCCAGAAGCACAACGCACAACATACGTAGCACTCACATACCATTTTATATTGTAGCATAACAGACTCCTCAATTATGGCATAAGATTCTAAGAGATGTGGGCTATTATGGGGTAGCTCTGAATTTAGGCTCATAGTTTACTTACTCATTTTGGGCCTCAGTTTCCTCTTCTGCAAAGTGGAGCTAGTGATTCACATCCAACAGGGCTAGTGTATTACAGATGTGTGCCAAGTGCAGTCTGGTACGGTGTGATCTCTTGAGGCTCCACCCCTTTTCTCTGGCTTTGCAGTCTCTGCTTTATCTCCCACACTGGCACTCACCAGGCAGGACAGGCCTCCTGCTCTGAAGCCTCCCAGCCTTTGCTCTCTAGGTCTTCCTAATTCAAGTTCCTGCTCCCATGTCACCTTCCTTTTAAAACCCATCTTGAATTCCTCCAGCAGTCAGTAAGGAGACTTCCCACTCATTTCCTGGACTTCACTTAGAGCCACATAAGGCTTATCTATGGGCTTCTCCATCTGTCCATCTACTAGTGCTGGATGCCCCTGGGACAGTGGGTGGAGTCCAACCCCAGTCCTCTGTGCATCTCCCAGCAGGACTCAGAAAGGTCATATGGATCCGAATCTACCAGTTGTGGTAGATTCTGCCACAGAAGCTGAGGCCACAAGACCTGGTTGGTATAGATGCCCACTGCTCTGAGTATGGGGCCCTGGTTGGACTCCTGTGCTATCTCTGGTGTGATTTTGGAGAACTTGTCCCACCTAGCCTCTTACCTATAGAATGGAATGGATCAAGGTAGTGGTGGTTTGGCAGAATTTAGGAAATAGCACCATAGAAATACTACACCTACCCAGAGAGGCTCAGCTTTTTGGAAGAGCAGCTTTCTTTCCTCATTCCGTTTACTTTGGGCTTTAAGGGGACATGGCAGCATTACCCAGGCTGCTTTTCACTCCTGGACACCCATCCAGAAGGGGCTTTGGAGGAGTGAACCAGTAAAAACAGGGGGAAGAAGTGGATCTAAAACTTAAACCCCACAAAGTTCACCACAATCCCTCACTCATCTCCACTACCACTTGGGTTCCCATCCTCCCTCCACTTCCAAATATCTTCCATTTAATCTGGAGAAAACTGCCTAATTACTTCGATCACTTCCTTTACATTTCAAAATCCCGCAATTAGATTGGAAGTGGTTTGACCCCAGTTAGCAGCAGAACAGCTCAGAAGCAGGACCAGCTGCTAAACGAAACAGGGCAGCTGCCCACTGCCCACAGGTCTTTCAGGCAGCCATAGTCCTGGCGATAGAGGCCAGGCACCAGGAGGCACCAAGACTACAGGACCCAGCAGTGAATGCACCACGTGGGAGCGGGTGGTGGACTGCTCTTTCCAGCCTCCTGCCTAGGCCAAGCCCAAGCGCCCTCCCGCCAGGGACCCAGGGTGAAGCTGGCCAGGGCACCAGAGAAGCGGGGAGGAGGGGTTCCTTCAAGCAATTCCCCCTCCCTCCCCACACCAGACCACAGAGCTGCAAGACCCCAGCTTGACCTGCTCATCCGTGGAGTTTTCTCCACCTGACCACTCAGGGTCGAGAGTAGAAACGTCCCCTTCCACCCTTCAGCTCTTGAGTCAAGCCTAGGGTCCCCGACTAGACTCCTTCTAGCAAGCCTTTAGCAACATCTGCGGATTCCCTTTCTTTTCTGCCTACGTCTTAGACCATGACTTCTGCCAAACTGCTGGTTCTGTCCCCCGAAGTTTTGCATTTGACACCCGGGAAGACCAAGTTGCATTTTTCCTTGTGGGGAGGGGGTGTAATTTAAACTAGCAATGTTTGCCCGCAACTGCCTTTCGGAGTCCCCTTGACATTCTCCCTAACGGAGGCTGAGAAGAGGGCACACAATCCCGGGAAGCAGAGAGTCGCCCAGAGTTCCAGGGTTCTGTCTGTTCCAGGTTGGGCGGGAGGAGCTTGGCTGGAAGCCCCTGCGCCCGCTTCCAGACCCGCAGGGGTCTGAAACGCCGCACCCCGGACCGGCCGGCGCCACCTCGGCCACCGCGTCCCCACGGCGTCCAGCTAAAGTCCCCGCAGCTCCTGGTGCCCGCGGAGCTCGTCCAGACGCCCAGCAGGGCTCTCCGGAACGCCTCCCCACCGCCCGGCCCGGCCCGGGTGCCCTGGAGCCGGGATCACAGCCTCATCCCCAGCTAAAGCCGCCTCAGACCCACCTGGCTTCCCCCGGGACGCCTCGCTGGTGACCCGGCTGTGTCCTGAGGGCCGCCAGGGTCCGACGCTGGGATCCACGCGACAGCGCTGCTCCGGGAGCTTGCAACAACCAGCGAGAGGTTGTCATTGATTCGCGCTGGGCGAGTTAAGCCATTCCAGGAGTGGTTTGGAGTGAGCGCTCCCACCCCTCCCTCCAACCAGAAGTACTTGGCAGGCAGCCCTTTTGGTCCACCTGTACTGCTAAGCACAGGACAAGCACCAATTTCACCAGTGGCTTTTTCTGCTTCACTTCAGAACGTGTAAATCAGCTCTTTGGGGAAGGTAACACGGTGGGGGAGCTTTTCTTTTCTCCTTTTTTTTTTTTTTTCCCTCCTGGGTCTCTCCTACTCCTCTATTTTTCTCTAATATTTCACAAAATGCCTTACCACTTATCTCCAGGCAAGGGAGGCTTTTTATTATTATTGTTTTATTCAATTCTCTGTGTCTGTGTTTTATTTTTAGAGGCAATTTTGTTTCCATTTGCCTGAAACCTGAGCCCAATAAAATTACTAGAATTATATGTTTTCTCCTTAAAGGATTGTGAGTGTAACTTAACCAAATCAAACATTGCACAGCAATCATTCAAATGACAAAAGGAAGAAGGTGCAGGTGGTGAGCAGAATGCAACTCCTGGGATCCACAGGGCCTGGCCTGGTGGGGTCATGAGGCCTAAGGAGGGGGCACCCACTGCTACCTCTCCACATCCGCAAACATTCACTTTACAATCTGACTCAATGCCAACCAGGGATTCTAGTCATCCACCACCATCACAGAGGTGTGGCCCAGCACCCTCTCCCCAGCCTGTCGTTCAAATCTTATACCACACCCTTTTTGTAAACTAGCAACTGGGAGTCTCCGGCTGGCTGACTCTGTCAGTTCCCCTTCCCCTGGCGCTGTCTGGTCACCTGGAGGAAATTGCTGTTAACTCCTGTTAATTGTTGTTCTCAGGAATGGGAGAGGAGTCAGGGAGGGGTTCTTTGCTGACCAGCTGCTCCATGTGTCACAAACCACAGGAGACCACTAGATGGTTGGCCTCCTATGGCCCTGTCTCTCTCCCAAGGACAGGCCATAAGCCTTAGAGAATCTGGCATAACCCATGAAGAGATGGAGCTGGGTTCATGAGCTGCAGAGCCCTCAAAAGATGTTTCCACTAAAATATCATCTTCATCAGGTAGCCCCTGAAATTGAGTGTTAATGATTCATGCCTTCTTGGGGTGTGCCCTGTGGATAGCCCACCCCAGATGGACAGGAAGAATCTCTCTGTAGTTCTCCCTGAAACTGATAAAACCCATAGGGCTGGGGGCAGGAGTTCCCATATAACCTGGAATGAACTTATCAGCTCCTCCAGGCATTAGCAGGAGAGCCCAGCAGGCAGCACAGGAGAAGAGCTAGTGTGCTGGGGAACAGAGGGTGGGAGCACTAGGATAGGGAACTGGATAATAAGGGAAAGAAGGGAACACTTCATCAGAGCAGATAGTTTTCAAGAGTGAATGACATCATCATGGCTGTCATCGTCATCGTTATCAAAAACCATATACTCAAGCTGGGCGCAGTGGTGCACATCTTTAACCCCAGCACTCAAGAGGCAGAGGCAAGTGGATTTCTGTGAAATCCAGGCCAGTCAGGTCTACATAGTTAGTTCCAGAATAGTCAGGGCTACAAGGAGATTCTGTCCCAAGAAAAACAAAAACAAAAAAACCCCCAAACCAAACAACAACAACAACCCCCCACATATTCCTAGGAAAAAAGCTAAAGAATGAAAAGTCAAATCCTTTTGTCCACAAAGTCACTAGTTATATAAATTTCTGATCGAGGGGAACTATGTGCTACTCCCAGACCTGGGCAGGTAAAAGTACCAAAACAAGATCTTGATGGACTTGGTACCAGTCTGGAAATGTTTGTTGTGCACCCACCCAAGGGGGTTGCCTCAGCAGCCATGAGTGGGGAGAGTATGGTGAGAGCCACTGGGCCTCCTCTGTGGGTCAGATAAAGCAAAGGAAGACTGGAAAGTGTGGTACAAAGTGCATAAAAGCAGCATCCCCTAAGGAGTGGGATGTGACTTCTGCAGTGGCCAAGAGCCCAGAACAGTTAGAAGGCAGGATTATGTGAACAGGGCTCCAGGGGGAGGTGAGCCAGGCAGGCCAGAAGTTTATGCAGCTGTGAGCAGGAGGGCATGTGGGTGGAACATGGGGAAGTGAAGGCTGTAGGTGGAGCCACAGTCAAGTGGACAGGTGGCCTGGCTCAAAGGGTCTTCTCAATGGGTCAAATATCAGGCTAGGGTCTGTAGGGTGGAGCCAGTTTATGGACACAGCTTCAGTACAGGGTGGGACCTGCTTTTCAGAGAGGCAAGCTTGGGACACCTTTTCAAAGCCAGCTGGAGCAGGTTATAGGCTGAGAGGGGGGCAGGGAAGGGAGAGAGAATGGACAGAGGGGATTTGAGAGGGCTGTGGTAGGAAGGAGTGGGAGAAAGGAGGTGACTGCCTCTCCTCAACAGGGCTCTAGCCAGTTCTGGAGGGACTGTCTGAGTAGGCCAAAGGGTGGTGCCAGGGCCACTACTATTGCAGCCAAGAGCCTGGGGGAGAGCTGGCTACTGTCCAGCCCACCCGCTGGGTCCTGCAGTGGACAGTCAGTGTCACGCCTCCCTCCTTCTTAATCACTGTGTGTGCCCTGCTGTGACACTCCCTTTGGAATAGCTTTGGGCGAAAAAAAAAAAATGGGGAGCACCACCCCTCCAGCCTCATTCTGTGCCAGCTGCCTCCTGGGAACAGGAACATAAAGGCAAGTCAGAGAAGATGGGGTGGGCAGAGGGGGCATAAGGGAGGCTCCCAAAGCCACACAGAAGGGGGCCTGGGCAGGGCAGACTCTAGACCTGTGATTGTACATTTCCTTGTCAGCTGGTTCCTTCCTCTTTCTGGCCCTCTGTGGCCCCTCCCTCTTACCCAGCTCCTCTGCTCTCTCCCTTCTGCCCTCCACCATCTGGTTTCCACCCCTCACTCTTGCCCTGCCTTCCCACATCAGGTCAGCCAGAGCACTGGAAAGCACGCTAGCTTCACAGGCATCCTGACTCCTGTTGTCCCTCAAGCCACCTCTGCTACAATCCTGGGCTCCTACCTCAGCCAATGGCTCTGGACATGCAGAAGCCCTACAGGCAAATGAGCTACTGTCCTTACCTGAAACCCAGGCAGGGCCTGCTTGTTGCTGTGCTAGGGGGGCGCACACAGGCAGCTTTCATGCACAAGCCACACAGGGGCACACTGTTTGCATGCACAGATATAAAGAGAGGGACTCATACCTGAGCTGTGTACCCCAAATACAGCAACACATCTGCTGAGAGTCTAGTCCCTCACTGAGTCCTCACAGCAACACTACAAGGCAGCTCCCACTGCATTCCCATTACACTGAGGAGAAAACTGGGGCTCTAAGAAATCTAACTTGTTCAAGGTAACACTGCATAATTCACAAAACTGGTCGCTAGACCTCGTTCTTCATGGCCCTGGTGCCTGAAGGCCACCTTGGGGTTCAAACCCTAGCTCTATGTCTACTTATACTATTGGTTCCCTAAAGAGCTGAGCTTGGCCCATGTGTGTCTCAGTTTCTCCACCTGATGGACATGAGTAATGTCTCTTGCTGGTCTCAGAGGGTATTATTATCCAGAAGGTTGGACCTGGACACAGCTCTGGAGATTGCCCTTGGCACCGGGAAACTAGTGCCATTCAAGTTGGAGGTAACTTCTTTGTCAAATCTTGCCCCCTGACTTGTCCATAGCTAAATCTCCCACTAGTAAGTCTGTTTCTACTATAGATTGCAAACTTATTCTTTCTGCCACTACTTCCCAGACCATGCCCCTAAGCCCTCACATTGACTTCTGCAAGGACCTCTTAGTCCATCTCCCTGACCCCTTCCTGCCTTGTTCCTCAGCTCCATACCACATGGCTGTCCACATAATCTGATTAAAATAAGAATCTGGTGCTGGTGGGATAGCTCAGTAGTAGAGTGCTTGCCTAGCATACATGAGGTCCTAGATTCAATCACCAGCACTGGGGGATAAAAATGAGGTCATGTGCAGGACACTTGCAATGTTCTGCCGCCTGTACACCAAGACCATAAGACATCGCAAATCTCTCTCCAAACTGCACCCCCTCCATACTCCTGTCACAGGCAGATGGGTCACATTCCCTTTCTTTCCTGCTATGGGACTTGGTTTTGATTCTCTGACTTGAAATGCTCTCCCCCATCTCAGGTCTCACAGAAACCTCGCCTCCTCAGAGAGGGCTTTCCACACCACACGGATAAATCAGGAACTTCCCCTTCTTGCCGGTCCTACATCTCAGGCCTTTGATCAAAGCACCATGTCACTTACATACTTTATTTTATTGCATGCTTCTGTTGATCACATTCTTTGTCCCTCCTCTGGAATAGAGGCTCCCTGAGGGTGAGGAGCCAGTATCTTTCATGCCTGGTATGGGGGCTGCTGAGTGAGATAGTTGCTGATTGAGAGAACTCACAGTCTGGAAAGCACAAGGGTTGGAAAGAACTTGGCTTTGCCACTGGCACGCTGTGTGCTCCTGAGGCTCTTCTGTGTCCTTGGTGGTGTCGTGTGTCTCTCTAGAGCCACACCCTCACCCCTGTAAATGGGAACCATGCACACAATGATGAGCACCAAGTCCTTCCAGCATGGATACCCCACAATCAGGCCTGCTCTCATCCCACAAGAACTTGCCGAAGGGGATGACAAACAAGAGGAATCCTGGCTACAGTGCTCTGGGTTTGGCTGTAGGAAGGCTTGAAAACCTGCAGACTTTTTGTCCAAGACAACTTGATAGGGCTGAAAGTATTCTTACAGTCATGATACAAGACTTAGTAATGCTCCCGATACTCTCCTGCCACTGCTCCACTGCTGACAGGCCACACAAGTGTAGAAATTGAGCTTGTCAGGAGACAGAGTCAGCATAGCCGTTTCTATCCCAGTTGCCTCTTCTCTCAGTGCATCAGCTCTGAGGGCCCGGACCTACGATAGTGATTACTGGAATGCACAGAGGCATAGAGTGCATTCTTTTCAACTTTTCAACCATGTTCTAAAGCTGTTTTATGTATTTTTTATTTTTATTTTTATTTTTTGGTAGTGCTAGGGATTAAACCTAGGTCTCCCTGAATTCTAGGCAAGCACTCTACCACTGAGCACATCCCCAGCCCTAAATCCATTATCTCACTTGGCCTTTTCCTTGAGAGTAGGCCGCAAAAGGAGCTGTACCCCTTTGCAGATGAGAAAACTGAGGCCCAGATTAAAAAGTGAGTGGCAGAAAGGAAACATCAATAATGAAAACTCTGGTAAGATTTCAGATTTTAAGATTCAGATTCTCTTTAAAACTATATGACATTCTTCCCTGTTAGAGAAAATTCATAAA